AAAAAGTAGAAACATATTTTGTAGTTACTTTGTCTAGAAATCTATCAATTGTTTCTTGTTGCTAGTTTTCTTTCTTGGTAATAATAATAATAATAATAATAAACCTGGAGGCCATTAGGAACCTTTGTGGGGAGTGGACAGCAGTGTTCCAGAAATTCTGTTGCTTACATCAACCTAAATTGGGATCCCCTGGAATGAACATGAAAACACAAATCAAGTGTTCATTTCCTGGTCTTTGACTATTCCTGTTCAGAATCGGTGCAGTTGCTGGATTTGTATTTTGACTAGCCTAGGTGATAGGAAGGAAGCCAAGCGCCACACTTTCTGCTGAACACTGTGCCTGTCATTGCTTTTGAAAAGAGATTGATTAGCTGACATCAAACTGATGGGCCTTGGAGTTTTTGTTGTTGTTGTTGTTCCATGCAAGAAGTATAGAAAAAGCCTCTGCAGGCGGTGGTGACGTACAACTTTAATCCCAGCACTCAGGAGGCAGAGCCAGGTGGATCTCTGTGAGTTCGAGGCCAGCCTGGTCTACAAAGTGAGATCCAGGACAGACTCCAAAGCTATACAGAGAAACCCTGTCTCAAAAAAACAAAAAAAAAAAAGAAAAAAGAAAAGAAAAGAAAGAAAAAAGAAAAAGCCTCCTCAGCTTGCCAAGTGTTCTGATAATTTAGAACTACAACTGTAGTGTCGCCCCATCCTAGGTTAGGGAGGGATGGAAAGCTGGGCTTTCAAGCCTGTGTTTCTACAGCTCCTTGTTCCCAGGGGATCTGTCTCCATTAGGATGATTCTGGTTGTTTGTTTCCAGTCAGGCTGTCTTTTACTCTTCAGGCAAATTACGCAAAGAAAGCCTTTTGGAAAAATTTCAAGACTACCTACCAGGTTTTCACAGAATTATATTCCAAACTGATTTTCTTTTCCAGGAAGAAATTCTTGATCCCTCAGTTTATTTCTGTGCTTGATGTTACCAAAAAGGCTGAGAAGCAATCTGGTTTCTCACAGGTTGAAACTTCTGTCCTAGGATATAGGTATCTCTTTTCTTCGCTTTTTTATCTCTGGTTTAACATTCACCGTCAAGAAGTGGGAGGAAAGCTCATTTTATTAATTAGTTTCTTTTCTTGTGATTCGGGGTTTCTGAATCTGTAAGAAATGATTTTTTAAGTTTCGTTAAGCAGAGCCTTCAGCTTTATAGGGTGGGGTTTAGTTTACTTCCTCCTTTTCCTTCTGTGGATCACTTCTCCCCACCTTCATGGAGCCTCTGCGCTCTTCCCATGGAGTGGGGGAGCAAGACAGAACCAGACACATGACTGTCTCTGTTTGGGAGTGTGAGTCAGTTTCCATTCCCAGTCTTCTCGTTTGCTTGTTTGTCAAGGTCTGTCATATCTGCTAAGGACGACCTTGACCTTCTGACCCTCCTGCCTTCCCTTCTGGAGTCACTATGCCCAGTCTTTGCTTCCCAATTCTTTTAGAAGCCGGTTTTCATGTTACTTTTACTAAGGCACAGGTAAATAAGTGGTTATGGTCACTATTGTTTATTTGTAGATTCATAATACCCTCGTTGATAGCCTAGATATACTACGATATAAAATTTTTAAAGATTTGTAATTTATAAATTTGACAACAGATATCACAGTTTCTT